GGGGGGGGGGGGGGAGAATAAAAGCCTCCTTTCACAAAGGAACATTCCCAATCATTGCACAATCTCCCTTATTAGCATAACCTCTTCATCTGGTGCATTTTGTAAAAGACTTCTCCAGCCCATTGCAGGCAGAACGAATGCAATGACAGAAACTGCTGCCTGTAAAATTTAAACCGTGGGCATTTGTTCAAGACTCTTGGGTAATGATATCTACCGTGATATATAATTCATGACTCCCTTAAAGCTTGCCCTACTTCTGACAAGAGATCATATATTTTGGAGAAGTCAAAGAGGGGGAAGGAGGAAAAAATCATTTGCTGTTTGAGCAATGCCAGATGAGATTTTGGATCACTCTTTTCCACCATAAGGGCTTCCCTTGTAGAGTGTGTGTGTGTGTGTATATATATATATATATATATATATATTATAATAATTTTCCCCCCTCTTTCTTAAACCGAAGAGGCAACATGTCACTGAGTTTCAGTTTTATCTTTTGTAACACCGGATAAAAGATAGGCTGGATCCATCTGTTAGCACATACAGGCTACAAACTGTGAACACAGGCACGCCCGCACACACATGCGCACACAGCCTTGCAGAAAGGGGGAAAAAAATCCACACTAAAAAAAATTATCATCAGCCATCCTACCCAATGCCAACCAGATAGCAGCACTTTTATCCTTTTATGGGCAGATTCAGGAGGAAGCCAACCTCCCCTGCCTGCCACAGAGACTCTTCCCCTGAGCCGCCACAAGACCAGGGATGACACCGGAGTTGACTGCAGGCCAGGTCCTTCCTTCCCTCGGCTGCCCTCCGGCCTCCAGGAACCAGTGAGAGAGTCTGGGCTCTCCAGGGCTATGACCTGTAGTGTCTCAGCATCCCTTGCTGAGGGCTGAGACAGTCTAGGGCACTGAATGGGTTTCCATCTTTTGGGATGATGGCTGTAGTCCTACTGCTGGTGTTCTAGGGAAAATGAGTAGGCTGGCTGCCTGAGTCCACCCTGCACCATGGAGCTGAAGTAGATAGGCCCATCTGTTCCTTTGTCCCTGTACATGGGTGGCACCACCTATAACACTCTCTGGGCCTCAGGAACTGCTTTAGCTCAACAGTTCTTGACAATGCTGAATGCACTTATGAGAGCAAGTGCAAGCAGAAGATCAGACAATAGAAGCCAGAGGTGATGGGGATGCACCAGCTCTGAGGCTTGAAAATCACCTTATGAAAATGGGCGTGGTACAGGTGAGAGTTCAGTACAAGGCTCTTTTGTTCTTTTGAAGCAGAAATTGTATTCATCACGGAGTTCCCAAAAGAAATATGCTTCATGTCATAAGCCAGTGGAGCCTGAACACACAAGGGTTCAGAAGATAGTAGTAGTGAGGGTCACAAGTACATGTGACAAAGGTTTATGTGATTTTTCATGAGGGACCAGAGCTCCAGCTCCACACCACAGCCATGCGCTTTTCAATGTTGTGACCTGTGGACTCCCCCATCCACCCACCCCTACTCCTACTGCTGCCTTGATTTAGGTCCTTACTGTCTCTGCCAGGACATACTTCCTGAGCAGTGAAGCTATTACCCCATCATCATTCAGTTGTGCAAAATCTCCAATGATGCTCCCTCTTTGATGATCAGTGAAGCCCAGCCTCTCTTTTCCAAGGTTCTGTTCATCTGATCCCTACCCAAAAGTTCTAGCTTTTATTCTTTATTTTCTCTATTTCCTCCCAAGACTCTGTCCCAAGCCCAGTGCTACAGTTTCAAGCTTCCCAGCTTCCCATCAGCATTATTTTTGCCTCTATGTAAAATAATTTCTGATATCTTCCCTCTATGTAAAATAACCTCTCTACCTCCTCATCTTAGCTCATGAAAATTCCAGGACAAACACATTGAGTCATGTTAACCTCCTCCTCATTTTGGAGGGAATTCTTTTGGCCTTACCTTACACATACCCAGTGTCCTTCCCTGACCCTCAGTCCTTGGTCCAGATGGACTCTCTTAGCACCAAGGCCCTGAAATCCCCCCTCCCCCTCTTTTTTTGGTCAGTTGTGGGGCTTGAACTCAGGGCCTGGGTGCTGTCTCTGAGCTTTTTTGCTCAAGGCTAGCACTCTAGGACTTCTACCATTTTGAGCCATAATGTCACTTTCAGTTTTCTGGTAGTTAATTGGAGATAAGACTCTCATAGACTTTCCTGCCCTGGCTGGCTTTGAATTGCGATCCTCAGATCTTAGCTTCCTGAGTAGCTAGGATTACAGGTGTGAGCCACTGATGCCCAGCTAAAATTCCATTCTTGACTTCATTGGCCTACTTCTCTCAAGCAGTCAGAGTGACCCTGGTAGCATCCACATGCCCTTGTGACCCTCCCTGGATCTAAGCTCTTTGGTAAGCCCCCTTTCCCTCAGAGGAAGGACCCAAATCCTCCCCTCTCTGGGGCCTCTTTGACATCACCCTCTACTTCTTCCTTTTGTTATCTGGGCTTTACCATATTGGTCTCCCTGCTGTTCCTCAAGCATATCAGTCACACTGAATTTTCTCTCTACTTAGAACATTTCCTCCAGGTTTCCCCTCCTGTCTCCTCATCTTTAATAGTTTTGTTCATATGTTGCCATCTGGATAAGAACAATCCAGATCAGTCTTCCAATTGCACCCCTTCCCCAGCTGTCACAACTC